GCTGTATCCCTGGAATACAAAGTCACTGTTTAAAGATAGGATAATTTCAAAGATTTAGGACTCATCAAACAATGCACATCGCTATAGATCTATTGGATATGAATCAACAAAGCACAATAATTATGAAACTCTGGGTCTTTTGATAAGAATGTAGCAATCCAGTATATATGAGAGGCAAACACTACAATGAAAGAGTTGACAGGACTTTAGAGCTAATCAAATCCATTGGTTTCCAGACTCCTGGAGTTTTTGAGTGAATCAAATGATAAGAAATATGGAAATCAATATAGTTGCCAGTTTTAGTTCTCTAAATAGCAACACTATACCTAACAGTTGGTTTTAAAACTGTTATTAACAGCAAATAAAGACATAGGTCTGTAAATAGTCATTAAAATTATTTTTAAATAACTATTTCAAAGCATTACATACTACAAAAATTGGTAAAAATATGAGAATTAAAATTTTGTGGGGCTTTTGTATATTGTGTGTTTCATAAAAATGGGGCAAAGAAATAATGCTTTCAGTGGTTCTCTTAGTTCGTATATAGGCTTACAGATAGATTTTTCTATGAGAACCATGTATTACCAGAAAATAATTTCTTCAAAGATGGTCTAGTTTGTAGAGGTATGGAAAAATGTTTTTAAATTAACTAAAAGTGGAATACAAACTATCCTTTAACAGCCATGTCCATTATGTCCCTAAGTAATATGCATTCTAACTTTGTTTCTAGGTCAGTTTCTCCGCCTCATCATCACCAGTCCCTCTACATTAGTTGAGGCATGTGCCCAAATAATTGCCAAGTAAATGATGTGTTGGTGGTGTGTGTCTGGTGACCTGGCTTACTCCAGCTTTAATCATACCCTAATCCATCTGTCATCCTTCAAGTTGATTTTATTAAAATGTGAATCTGGTCTGGAAATGCTTTGATTGGACTCTTTACTCCTTAAGATGGTATGCTCCTACCAGGCCTCCTGTAATCCGGTTACTGCCTGTTTCCAATAAAATTTCCAGTGCTCTTTCTTTTTGCTTCCACCCATACTATTATTGCTTTCAGTTCCACAAACTTACCTTGTGGTCTCTGACCTCTTTTCTTTTATATATACTATCATCTCTCCATGGAATATTCCCCTCTGCTTTGTGAATGCATCCTTCAGTTCAAGTGTCTTCCTGTGTGAAGTCCCTGGTATTCTTCCAAGAAGTCTATTCGTCATAATTCCATGTACCTTTTCCCAGCTCTATTAAATACCACTTACTGCAGTTTGTTTATGACTATATGGAATCTCCTTACCCTGATAAAATATGAGCCCCTGAAGTGTAGTGTTTAACTTACAGTGTCTCCCTCAGATGAATGCATAGTAAGTACTTACATTAACACCTAGGACATAGTAAATGCTCAAGTAAATGTTTAAAATAATTAGGTCTCTTCTCTTTTGGTGTTAAGTTTAAGTCTGCAAAATAGCTACTAAACTTAAATTGTGAAGAGAGAAAGGGTTGGAGATGTGTTTTTGTAGTTACAAGTTAGGAAATTTACAATTGTTAATTCGTGCATAAGATCAAAGCCATCCTTATTGTAGGGGGGAAATCAGGAACAGAATTGGACATCTGTTCTTAGGTCTCTTCCCTCACAATTATATTGAAGGGCTGACGATACTCAGTGAAACATACCCTGGTACTTTATCCATTGCAGATATAAACCTCATCTCAAAAAGTGTCAAATTATTTTGGGCAAATTGAAGATTCTTACCTGTCTTTGGCTGTTTGGTTATAAATTCTTATTTTTTCGAGTTTAACATGCTTTTCCAATGTATAATAATAATGGTAACAATAACAACGTAACTGCAAAGGCACTTTAACATAGTTATATTAGAGAACTTTCCTACGGCTGACTTAAAAGGATGTTAGTTCAGAGCTAGATGGTTAAATTATCTCTGTGTGGAAAGTTATTTAGCTTCAATTCTGAATTGTTTATAATCAATAGATTAATTCATTGATACCCATTTTTATATAAAGTTGAATCCATTAATGTGCTAACATGTCTCCCCCTCCCCAGCAGCACACACACACACACGCCATTTTATATTCTTTGGGAAGGTATGGCACTAAATTAAACGTCACTTCTAAGATATGTAACATTAAATGAGTCGATATATTCTATTACGCAGATAACAACAAATTTCTTTTTCTAAGTGTTAGTTGAAGGTACTTACATAAAGAACTGGTAGAGCCCTCCCTCCCTGGTGTGGCTTAGTTGGTTGGAGTGTCATCCCATAAACCAAATGGTGGTGAGTTCTATTCCTGGTCAGGGCATATATGAAAAGGCAAGCAATCAGTGTTCCTCACTCACATCAATGCATTTTTTTCTTTCCTCTCTATAAAGGCAAGTTTTCGAAAAATGTCCTCAGGTGAGGATGGAAACAAGGCCTGGTTATATAATATATTTATTTCCAGAACTTGGATGGGCATCCATTTCTAACAATCAAATTTTCACTGAAGGCAAATTTTTATGCCTGGTCATGGCTACCAAGTTTTTTGGTTTTTTTTTTATTTTCCTGCTATGGGTATGTTAAAATACTTCCCAAGCCAGTTGATCACCATAATTATCTGGAAAGCTTATTAAACTATACATTCCTGGGCTCCACACCCAGTGTTCCCCAAAATAAGATGGTAGGTGTCGTCATTTATAATTCTTTTAGAATGTACCAATTCCTGAAGAGCTATATGCTGAACTACTTAGTGTGACCCAGGAGTCTGCATTTTTGACAAGCCTCTTATCCTCAAGTACTTTTCATGAAAACACTACTTTGAAAAACATGGAATGAGGCTTTTCATTAAAATGACTATATAGAGCTATAGTGCAAAGATGGTGTTATTTTCATTTCTTTTGGAGGGAGTATTGCTGTAATATTTACCTCTCTAACCTGAGAATCTTGGAGATAATCTGAACCACTTCTTACATTTCTTCTTGGAAGTTTTATCAGAACAACAAAATTAATTGTTCTTTAAAAATTTAGAGCCCTGACTGGTGTGCCTCAATGGGTTGGGCATCATCCTGCAAACTGAAAGGTCACCAGTTCGATTCCCATTTGGGGCACGTGCCTGGGTTGCAAGGTCAGGTCCCCTGTTGGGGGCATGCAAGAGGCAACCAATTGTTTCCCTTACTCTCTTTCTCCCTTCCCATCTAATTTTTTTTTTTTTTGTAAGAATAGTCTGATGGACTGACTTTTTTTCTATAGTAAATATGGGTCAAGTCGTAATCAGGAAGTAGGAATGTAAAGTGGAAAAAGAAGCCTTATTTAACCCCCCCCCTTAAAAACAACATCCTTAAAGGGGAGGAACTAGCTATCAATCAGCATATTTTAAACATAGTGACATTTCATCCCACTACTTTTACAACTAATTATTGTAAGATGTTTAGACAATGTGTACTTTTATAAGGTTACTATTTTTCATCTTAAAGGTGAAACCAATAACTTGTAATCTCCAGAAGTGTAACTCAGAGCAGAAGAAGCATCACTTCGGTTAATATTAGTAATGTAAGAGTAGTAGATGTTAAGAATTTAAATGTCATGAGCTAGGACATTTTAAAGTATCCAGTTCAATATAAAATATTTCAGTCCTAATGCTAGTAAATACAGTATTGTCATAATTTCACATGTATATTTTGATACTGTGTTCACCAGGCAATTCTGTGAATGTAATAAAACTACATGGTCAACCTCTTTGGAAGCAATGAACTGGCCAAGGAGATACATGTCTTTTCTTCATAATTGAATGACTTTTTTTTTTTTATAACATACCTGTGTTTCAACTTGGCTACTGTGCCTTTAGCCTGAGAGATATCTACTTGCTTATTAACAAAGTTAAATATCTTTTTGTTGGGGAATTACTTCATAAGTTATATAAATGTCTAACCACTCTTTTGGACACCTGAAACTAATATAATACTACCAGCTGTAATTGAAAAATTTTTTTAATATTTGAAATAAAAATACATAATTCAGCAAAACATTTTTTTAAAGTTGGGTGTCTTGATTCATATATTTGAAGTCCCCATCTTTGATTAGTAAATAATCATTTTGATTTTTAAATTACTTATAAAAGTTAAATATAAACAACTACAAATTAGTTCAGCAAGCCACTGATGGACATGTATATGAAAAAGTATGGTGAATTCAGCACAAAAAACTCATTCTTCCCTCAAGATGGTGATAAACTGATTTTGTACATGTGTGTGATTGTTTCTGAGAATACTAACAGGCACCTTTTAGTCTTGAATAACTTCTACCATGGTCACTATATTATCTAGAAGGTATTAACCAGTAATAGAAAATGTACAATTTAATTTTCCCCAGATCAAAGTTGATGCTCAACAAAGTCTTCCCCTGCTGGTACTGCTAAACCTAATGCCTTGGCTGTGTTTCACTGGATTCAAGATAGGAACCACAGAAACCTCATTTATTCATTCATAGAAAACCAAAATAGTGCACTAGCTTAGCCTTTAGCTATGGGATTCTATAATCTGAGGTGTGGCTGGTGTGGTTCAGTGGATTGAACACAGGTCTGGGAACTGAAAGGTTACCTGTTAGCTTCCCAATCAGGGCACACGCCTGAGTTGTGGACCAGGTCCCCAGTTGGGGGGGTGGGGAGTTCGAGAAGCAACTGATTGATGTTTCTTTCCCTCTCTCAAAAATAAATTAAAAAGCAGGTACAGTTGTGAATATGCAGAAGTTTATCCTTTTATTATTTTCTAAAGATTTTATTTATTTTAGAAGGGAAAGAAACATCTATGTGCAAGTGATGCATAGGTTGGTTACCTCATGCACCCCCATGTGGGGACCTGACCCCGCAACCTAGGCATGTGGCCTGAGTGGGAATTGAACCAATGACCTCTAGTTCACAGTCCAGCATTCAACCCACTGAGGCACACCATTCAGGACTATTGTACTAATTTGTATTATTTGTCTTATTATTATGTTGTATCCTTATGATTTCTCTTTTAGGTTATGATGGCTGGTAATTTAACCAACGACCAACGAAAATGGATACTTAAACAATACTGGAAGACAGAAAATGCTGAAAAGGTTAGACAGAAATGGGCTGAAGAATTTGATACACCTTCACCAAGTAGACAGACAATTTACAGAATACGTGATAAATTTGATAAAACTGGGTCAATCTGTAATGCTCCAAAAAGTGGTCGACCAGTCAGTATTACCACCCAGGAAAATGAAATGTTAGTAAGTCAGGCATTTACAGAGAGTCCCAAAAAATCAAAACAAAGAGCTTCTGTTGAATTAGGCATTTCCTGTAGATCTTTGAGTCGTATAATGCAACGTTTAGGTTTGAAAATGTATCGACCAAGATTGCTTCATGGGTTACTAGAGGATGATCCAGATCGCCGTTTACAATTCTGTGAAGTGGTTCTCAATGAAGAAAGACAAGGCAATAGCATCATTGATAAAATTATATGGTCCAATGAAGCTCATTTTAAACTTTCAGGTGCTGTGTATCGACACAACTGTGTCTACTTTTCAAGAGAAAATTCCCATATAATGATAGAAGGACAGTTAAATGAGCCAGGAATTACAGTTTGGGCAGGATTTTCATGTAAAGGGGTATTTGGACCTATTTTTTTTCATACAGCTATTACACAAGATCTCTATCTTAACATGCTAAAGGACACTGTTTTACCACAGTTACAGAGACAGCATGATAATGATGACTACTTCTTTCAACAAGACGAAGCTCATCCACACTGTGCCGTAACAGTGCGTGAGTTTCTTGATGAACAATTACCCAACAGGTGGATAGGTAGACGAGGACCAGTGGAATGGCCACCACGATCACCAGACCTCACCCCAATGGACTTCTTTTTTTGGGGTGTTGTCAAAGATAAAGTCTTTTTACGAAAACCACGTACTGTAGATGATATGATTTGCTGCATAAGAGAAGTGTGTCAAGAAATTGATGACAATAAAGAACTCTGTGCCAAAGTGTGCTCGAATATAGCGAGTAGACTACAAGAATGTGTAAATAATGAAGGCCGGCAATTTGAGCAGTCGCAAGATTGTACCTAAGTGTGTTGTGACATTTCTTTTGAGTTAATAAAGTTACTGTAATTATCATAACCTGCATGTCTTTTTTCTATTCAAACAAAATCTATTGCCTTCTCCTATATGGATAACAAAGAATTGTGAGGTGGAAAGAAATTTTATTCATGACTGTAGGGACAAATGAGGTATGGCATTTAGTCCAACATTCCACTGTTCATCATTCTTACACTTCCAAGAGGCAGTGAGTAATAATTCATGAGTGGCTGCACTGATGAAGATGATACATAAGCACCCTAAGGCAGAAATAAGGACAGAATAACAGCCTTCCTTTGTTATTTATCATTTGATTTTCTTTTGCCCTTAAGACTCAATTTAAGTATCCCTGTTCCTAGAACCACAATTTACACAAGTGCCAAATACATGAGCAGAAGCATCCCATTAAAATGCCTCCCAAACACTAAATCTTAAGAGTAGGTTCATCTGTATAGGCTATCAAAAGTGTCAGTCTTGCTCCATTCAGCATAAGCTTAATAAATATTAGTGGAGGTTAATAGGATTTAGAATTCACCTAAAACCCAAGGTGTTCTTCTATATGCACACACTAGTTTGGGCAACAAGTGATTGACCTATGTTCAAATACCCGAAGTCATACTAGGGCAGTTTATTTGTACATTTGGACAGCTTTTTTCAACTGGGTGCATAGAACTGATTACAATATCATGAATTGATTTTGTCCCACAAGACATGTAAAATGAGGAACTGGGTAGATAGGTGACCAACATCATAAGATTATTTGGAATTGTAGCTCATTCCATAAACAGATTAGCCAAGTAAACAAACATAGGCTGTTAAATGGCAACTAGTAAGTGAGAGCCGGCAGGTCATCGAGATCAGTCAGCTTAGCCAGGAGGTCATAATACAAGTATTAACATGCAAGTAACTAAATATACCATATCACAGCTAGTAGGTGGAGTAACATGCCATCATTAGAATAAACTTACACCATTTAAAATGTAAAAAGGACTTTTGATATATTTAAACTTTCAATATTAATATAGGGCTTTATACCCCATAACTTAGTGACATGCATATAGGAGGAAAATACAAAGATACAACACAGCAACTAGCAGATAAAAGTTTGATTTAGTACATCTCTAGTAGGAGTTCTTTGTAATCCCTTACCTGCTGAGTTCTAGGTAGTACAACATTCTCTGAAGTATATTTGCAATACCCTTAAACTAGTAGGTTAAATTGTGAGCCAAACCCAGTGTCGTACTCAGTATTCAAAAATAATAAACTAATGGGATAAATTGACATTAATAAATGCAAAGAGTAATCTGCTTCATTGGTAAACTTAACCTTCAAATACGGCAGTACTAAATTAAATGTGTTAATGCAATGGTTTTGTCCATGTGTCCTTTTTAGTAGTCCCTGAAAACCCCTGGACAAAACCAAGGGGGAGAGTGGAAGCAAGGGAGGGAGGTGGGTTTGGCTGGGGTGGGGTGGAGTGGTAAGGAGAAAATGCAGACAACTAATTGAACAACGATAAAGTAATTTTTTTAAGTTTTAGTGCAATGGAATCAAGTTATAAATATAAGACTCAAAGTTGATCAGACATAATACACAAGATTTAAGGTGATGGACTCTTTAAGTGAGGTGTTAGCATTTTATAAAATAATTGTCAAAGCTATATTAGACTTTAAAATTGGTCATTAGTGCATGTGTATACTGTAGGCAAAACGCACCCAATTTTAAAACAAGGCCATGTACTCCATGTTTCCCAAAATGAGAATTCGTGGGTCTTTAGTAAGTAGGTGTACATATTTTACTGACAATTTCACAGAAGAGACTGAATAGGGAGTTCACATTAAAAAATAACTCGATTTTCATAAAATCCCATGCAGTTAATTGTTTAAATTTTAAAGTGTACAGTACATACTGTTCCTCATAAGCTTTTGTATCTCACTTTCAACTGGCCAGTCTTTCTAAAAATTTTCTTCTTTAAGTCTCTTAGATGGAACAATTTAGCAGTTGTGGGCAGAATACAAATTTAGCACATAGATTTTACTGATTTTAGAGGAAGGGGAAGAACATCGATTTGTTTTTTTTTTTTTTGTTTTTTTTTTTAGAAGGGAAGGAAGGAGAAAGGGAGAGAAATACCAATATATGGTTGCCTCTCATGTGTCCCCTGCTGGGAACTGGCCTGCAACCCAGGCGTGAGCCCTGACTAGGAATCCAACCATGATTCTTTGCTTCAAAGTCCTGTGCTCAAGCCCCTGAGCTACACGAGCCAGGGCCAGTTCATTCTTAAGCATTCATTGGTTGCTTCTTGTATATGCCCTGACCAGAGATGGAACCACAACCCTGGCATATAGGATGATACTCCTAACCAACTGAGATACCCAGGACAAGTAGTATATTTTGCCATGTATAATATGCAGTTTTTGCCCAAATTTTTGAGGGAAAAAAAGGATGTGTGCTACACATGGATACAATGATTACATGCCATGGGTCTAGTAATCCTGTGTATAATGCACACAGAACATGGGTGTGCATTATACACAGCAAAATACATTATATTTTTATACTTTTTAGGGGTGGCAAATAGATTCTCTGTTCTACCACATGGCACTGATTGTTGGTGGAAGGTCCCACTAGGTATAGTACTGATATTAACAGGAACTCTGTAGCTCCCCGTCATTGGGCACATAGCTATAGGCAGATTCTAACATCTTTGGGAAGTATCTCAATTTAGTCAATAAATTTCACCACCAGGTATTTGGCAAGGTGTGATTGCAGTGCAAGTTTTTTTTGTTTGTTTTTTAATTAGAGGGGAAGGGAAGGAGAGAAATATCAATGAATGATCAATGTATGGTTGCCTCTTGTGGGTCGGTCCCTTGCTGGGAACTGGCCTGCAACCCAGGCATGTGTCCTTACTGGGAATCAAACTGCAATTCTTTGGTTCGCAGGCCCATGCTCAGTCCACTGAGCTACACCAGCCAGGGGGTTTTGTTTTTAACCATTTGATTTAGGTCCTGCACCTGCAAAGGCTCTATATGCCTATTCCAGTACTTTTCCCTCAGCCTAGGTCCTTAGTCAACATTAAACAAGGTAATAGAGAATTTAAGTTTTAATTATGAACATGGAGGGAACTTCAGATTTGTTTAATAAGCTTGGACTGTATTATCTCTGAGCTTTAACACCTTTACTAACATAAAGCATTTGTAAAACAGGGTTTTCTCCACTCTGCACATTTCATTTGGTTATGTTGCTCCTTTATAATACAACAGAACTTCAAGAATTCCAAAGCAAGTTTGTACTTTGGCACAAATTAGTTTGGTGGCTATTATGCCTCCATAGATATTTTCCATCTGATTCTACAAAGTCTACAAGTTGCCAGGATAACCTGGGGCCAACCAGAGAAAGCTTGATGTATTTGTCTCTCAGGCAGTGGTTCTAAAATATGGGTCCTGGGTCAAAGTGCATTAGAATGAATTACAGTGCCTGTTTAGAGTGCAGATTCTTGACAAACCTCCCAAGTCAAAAATCAGTCCTATATGAGTTTTTGAGAAAATTATCAAATTAATGTTTGTTTTTTAAGATACTGAAACTGCAGTGAAGACAGTCTCTCCATTTAAAATATTAGGAGACATGATGCCGTAATAGTAGACTCCTCATTTATGGGCTATTTTATGAAATCCAGTTCAGTATTTTTAAAAATTGATTTTAGAGGGGGCTGGGGATGGGGTAGAGAGAAACATCAATTTGTTGTTTCACCTACTTATGCATTCATTGTTTGTTTGATTTTGTATGTGACCGGGGATGGAACCTGCAACCTTGGAGTATTGGGAGAGTATTTGAATTTTTTTTTTAAGGGAGCTATGAATTTACAAGACAATTATACAGGGAAAGGAAGAGAAGAAAACTATTTTGGGTTGCATACAAAATTGCATGATACCTGAAATTTGATAGTCACTTTGTTTCTTTTGAACAGGAAAACTACATGATTAAAGGCAAAGGGAATAACCATTTTTTTAATCAGTTACCTATCTGTGTAATGGTAACAAAAACTAATGCTACCCAAATGACCATTGGTTGATAGGCTTTAAAACAAAAATTTTTAAACAAGTTACATTAGTATCCTGTGAACCCAGCCAGCCAACCCCCTAAACTAGGAGCTTCTTTGTACAAAAGGAATACACCTTTAAAACAGCAAAGTGTGGATAAGATAGTGATGATCAGAATCCTCCTTTTTCTGATGGTTAATGGAACCAAATTATTTGCAATAAAGACCCAATATCTGATTCCCAACAGAAGATGGAAAATGTGGATAGACAACATGACAGCCTAATTTCTGGAGTAGACCTTTGAAATAGGACTGCTTCTGAAAATGAGTGTACCTTTACCCAGGACATATTTTACTGGCCCAGATAAACTGGTTGTTTAAAGCTCCCAGAAAATAAGTTTAAATTACCCTAACATGACTGACTAATATAGATGCTTCCCTCACCCCTAAAAACACAGATGCTTTATTAGTAGTAGTGGTATTACTATTATTGATTTTAGGGAGAGAAACATTGATTTGTTGTTCCACTTATTTATGCATTCATTGGTTGCTTCTTGTATGTATCCTAATAGGGATGGAATCGCTCAGCTCTAACCAACTGAGCTACCCAGCCAGTGCTACTGCAAACATTCTTAACTACCTTTTGACAGCCCTGGGCATAAAGCTTGCAAATCTGTCAGATGTTTTAAACATGTATTTTGTAGTATATACACAAGTCAGTTCTATCAATGGACTGCTAGTTAGAAATCCCTTGCCAGGTGTGAAAAGTTTTAAGAGAAGGCTCAGTGATGAGGCCTGTAATTAATGACACCCTGCGCAGCTTGGAGTTATGTGGTTCTAGCTTCCAGTTAGAATGACCCCTTATGTCAACCGACCTAGGCGAAACTTGCTCCCTTAAAACTGACTGGTGGGAAGCCACACCGAGTAATCTTAACCTAGTAAGAAGCACTGAGTTCAGTCCTCTTTGAGCAATCCGACCAATTCAGATAAGAGTTTTACCTTTTGTGGAATAGGCACTTTCATTGTTTATGATATGTCAAAACCATGGTCACAACCAAGAACCATTAAGGGCCCACCAGCCATTTTACACTTCAGAAGAAATCTGCTTGTTGAGATCTCTCTCACGCTCTCGTGGTGCAGTGGTACTTTGCCTTTGTGAACTCTACCAAGCCATCCAAACATTCGCTCCAGGTCTGGAAATGTGCGCTGTGGAGGCTGCAGAGCAGATGCAAACTTGTGGCTTGGCGAGTGAAGTCCTGGCGCTTCCCCATCAGGGCAGCAGGCTGGCTAGCGCCGGTAAGGGCGTAGCCCGGGCCGCTTCCGGCGTGACGGGGGTGCCACCCTCCCTGTTGGGTGGGGCAGGCGGACACGGGCAGGCTGGAGCTGAAGAAAGAAAACCGCACAGCACTCAGAGGCTGCGAGACCCTAAGGCCGATCCTGCTGGGCTGTCTGCGGCCAGGAATACAGTAGGGTCAGAAAAGGGCAAAGACGGGCCCGGAGAGACGCGCCAGCGGCACCATCTTTGCAGGACCCTAAGAAATGCACTTCTTCCACGGCGGCGTGCCAGGGCGGCGCAGGACATCCGCTGCCGGGCCCACTTCCGCCCAGCACTTCCTGCGGCCCCGGGGCCCAGGGCTTTAGCATTTTCTTTAATTAGAGTCTTACATAACTGTTTTATCCCACCCGATTTTCCTCGCAAAATAGTACGTCACTTCCGACTTCCTCCTACCGAGAGGCACCGTGAGCAGACACGGAGCCTGGCACAGCCGCCATCATCCTGAATTGCTGGAAGTGGCCCGTGTGTCAATGTCCTGTGTGTATGGAGAAAAATGATTGAATGATTGTTCGGTATTCATGACGCTCTGTCAGAGGAGGCAGGAGCAGTGATGGCCTGCGATGAGACTGACCTGTGTTTCTATTCTGACTCCTCTAACCCTTATCAGCTTTGTGTAAATCGAAAAAGTTTTATCTCTGTTGAGCCTCTTAATTTGTTAATGGATCAAATGACTGGTATGTATGCAAAGCCCTTAGAAAAGAATACTTGGTATAGAGTAGTGTCTGGTATAAAGGTTAAATAAAAATGAAGGAAGAGCTATGTGGATTTATTGAGAACCTATGTATTCAATGCCATGCTGTCTGTCGGGTACATAAAGTGTTTTTGATTTGTCCCCATGGAAATGGCCTCCCTCCTTAAATGAGCTGGTGTTTATCTGATGTCTCTTGAGCAAGTTTGCCATTTACCAGGCTCTAGTTCCTAAGGAATTTTATGCTTTTATTGAACTTGACTCACCCCTTTTTTTGCATAGCTTTGTACTGGATGAGTATTCTGGTGGGATGGTGAGCAACTCCTAACTTCCGTGCGATTTTATTTCACAGGAAATAAAGAGGTAGACTAGCCTCTTCCCAGGTTCATTTTAGGTTGATTCCTGATAGGAGACCATAATGCTTGCTAAATACTTGCCCTGTACAGTTTGGAAGCAAGTAAAGGGGCAGAGACAGATGTTATAAAAGAGCACATGGGAGAGGAGAGAGAGAGGAAGAGAGGGAGAAAGAGCTGGAGAGGAAAAGCATGCCAGAGAGAAACATCCGTGGGTTGCCTCTCCCATGTACCACAATTGGGAACTGAACCACAACCCAGGTATACGCCCTCACGGGACATGTAACCTGTGACCCCTCACTTGTATGAACACTGCCCAACCAACTGAGCCACACCCATGAGGGCTGTATTTTTTTATTTTAGTTGCACCAGTGACTGTAGTATTTGTCAGTGCTTCTTGTGATAATTTATAAGGGAATGAAAAACTTAACCATGAAAGAGATTATCTTCTACCCCAAAATGGACAAATTCTAAACTCAGGACATACTCATTCATGACCCACTGAGTCTTGTGATGTTGAAGAATAATTAGAACTTTTTCTTTTCCAGACTGAATTGTTATCCTAAATTGGTTGGTTTGTGCAATCCCTACAGGACTTCTTGCTCCTTCAGACCCTAACTGAAATTGAATGATAACATCAGACACAATTCCCACTGTGCAGTGAAATCTGATCCCAACATCTGTTGAAGATCTGGCGTTTCCTTATAAAATCTAGAGTTACCTGTAAAAGTTGTTGCCTCTTGAATATAAAGTTGAGAATGGGGTCTTAATTCCTTTAAAATTTAAACTCTTGGATGTGGGTTTTTTCTTTTAAAAATATATGTATATCTTGCTAAATAAATTTTAAAAGATGAATTATATCTCTGTGCAATTTTTTAAAATTTATTTTTATCCAGGTTATTCTACCCTTAACAGGTTACTCAACCCTTTCCCTTTGCCACTCAGCAGGCAGAGCCAAGAGAAATTAAACACCTACCTGAAAGTTTCTTTGAATAACACTCAGTATCAAGTAGAGACTAATTATGAATTGCTCAATATAAAGCACAAGGTTCTCTTTTTTAATTGAGGGGGTAGAAATACAGCCTCTTAATTATAAACTGCGTCGTAATATTTTTGGGAGGGCCCTTTGGCTTGAATCCATTACTGATTATATGTCTTATATCACTGTGGGAACTGCATTATGAAAACTTTTTAAGTCACAGGTTATGTATTTGGCGCCCTCTAGTGTATTGTTTTTTAGTGACAAGCATACTTGATGGAACTGTTAACAAAAGGATAAAATGTAAACTTCAGTCCACCTCCCCAATGGGATTGATCTTGCTTCTTTTCATGAAACCCAAAGAGACTTTTCTCTGCACCTGCCCATGATAGGGGAGTGTGAACTTAAACTAGTTCCTAAATCTCAAAGCTTTGGTTTCCTCATGTGTAAAATGAGGATAAATATGTGAACTGTATGGGGTTCCTCTTAGGACTAAATAAGCTAATTAATACATATAATGTGGATGCCCTGCACATAGTAGGAGTTCAATAATTGCTAACTCTTTTGTGCGTATATATAGATACAGTAAATACTAACCATGGTTGAAGACAGTAACAATCTTGAATGGCATACTCTGCTATTAGGGGAATGTGAAAAATGTTAAAGAGTAGCTGAAAAAAAATAAGTAAAAACCTAGGTATGTTCTCATCTGGTTCCATTTTACTGAGTCAACTCATGCCAATTGTGAAGTCCAATTCTGAAGCATGTTAAATTTCTTTGCATTCTTCATAGTGTCTAGAATTGCCAGTCCTTAAGAACTACTTGTCTTATTTTTTTTCATGGATAATGTCTTTATTACATTGTCAGTTAGATTTTTGTTTGAAAGCAGCTACCTGGGATCTTCCACGACAGCTTTAACCACCTCTTGGTGTCTCAGCTAGGAATGTTTGCCTCAGCTCTGCCTTGAAGTTCACCACAGTTAGCTGCTGCTGCTGAGATCACCTAGGGTACAGCTGATACTTTGTTGCTCAGGAAGGCTGTCCTACAATTGACCTCAACTTTAACCTCTGGTACCCGCTGTTCTGTAATCCATCTCAAGTTTAAGGGATTCCTTGACCACTGTATTGTGCTGCTGGTCACTCCTCAAACCACCGCAGGTGTCTCCAGCAGCTGGTCCACTCTGCCCTACTTAATTTTAATGTTCAAAGTAAATCTCAGAAAATATAGAAGCAGCAAAATTCTAGAAAGGGAAAATAATCGAAAATTTTGAAGACTTGGATTCAAACTTACGTTTTTTAAGCCCAAGGCTCCACATTCTTTTTTCTGAATTAGTGTAGTTGCTCCACAGGTGTGGATAGTATTTGTCTTACCAGTGTACAGTGTGAAAGTAGTATGATTGGCCCTGTGGATTTATAGATCAATGAGATCAGTAAATTCCAGAGTTCTCATCCATTCTCACCTAACTCTAGCATTGTTTAGGCTATACAGGTAAAATTTGATATATTTTAAAGAGATATCTTCTCATCTAGATATTCTAGGAGAACATCCTGCACTGACAGACATGGACTTTGATGCTTAACATCGCTAGCTCCTGGGCTCCCCAAGAACCCAATTACTTGAAGAAAGCATTGGGTACTTCTGACCCCTGAGTCTCTCTGGAGTCTTTGGTTGGTCCTGTATATAAATATCTCCCCATGCTTATTTTTCCTGTGTCATATGTTAAAGATTTCAGTATATCTCCCTTCTACTTCCTTAGTGCTAAACCAGATTAATTTTCTCATAAACAGCTACCATATAACCATTTATTGAGATTCTATTATATGCTTGGACAGTATGCTAAGTATTTTACAAACATTATTTCTAACTCTCACAATCACAGTCCAGTAAGATAGAGGGTATTATCCCCCTTTTCCAGAGGAGAAAATTGCACTAGGTAACCAAGTAAGTATCAAAACTAGACTTCCAACCAGAGGCATCCTCTAGAGCCCATGGGCTCAATAGCATCAGAAACACTTCCCAAAGAGAATTTTCAGTTATGCAGTTTCAGAAATGTAAGGAGAATCTTGCTATTCCCTTCAGGAGCTAAGCCAGCAGTTCTGAGGTTTCCTCCTTTGCAAGAAAGCCCACCTATCTACCCCTCTCACATTATCTTGGCACCTTGCAGTTATCAAAGGCTGGCCTGTAGGACATCTCATTTTCTCTCCCAGAAATATTTTTGTACTCATCATCCACCAAACCTCCCAGCTGGGGCAACAAGTTCTTTTCTGGCAGAAGATTGCAGCTGTTATTTACTCCTTAGGGGATACACTGCAAAGCCCAAGCCTTACAGCTGGGAACACTGAGATCTGTCTGTGCAAGCATGTAAAAGAAATCTTGAAGGGGGAGGGTGTTCACATGCTGGCCATCCTGGTCACAGTGTACTCACTGGTCAGTGAGCTCTCCCACTGGAAGCTGTGCAACAGAAACAAAGGCACAGTCTTGGCCACTAGAACTACATTCAGTAGTCCTTCTGTCCACTCACCCTTTCAAGCACATGCTCATTCACTATGCCAACCATGGGAATCTTTAAATGCTTTTCCCCTCTTTAAAGCTCTCCCATCCCAAACTCAATTTCTTCATTAAAAGCTTCTTTCAGGTTTACACCTTAACCTTATTGCAGGATCTCAGTGAATCCTACAATGTATGGGTGGAAGATTAAAAATCAGAGCTGAAGACACAGGCAATAGGGGAGGAGCCACCCAGGAAACAGAAGGGCTACAACTTGGAAACAAACTAACTCCTTCATCCCAGTGGGATTTTTCTCATTTTTCTAAAGCCTGTTATTTCAGCAGAACACTTGACCAGAAGCTGTGATTCCTGAAACTTTTAAAAGAATAAGCACTAACAACAGAGTTGCCCATATGTGTATCTTCTGTGTTTCAGCAAAGTTTGGGGACCTGGAGAAGTTCTGTTATTTCAATGAGCCTCAGTTTCTCCCCTTTGCAAAATAGGCTTCACATTTGAAAAGCACCTTAATGCATAGAATCAACCATCATTTTCTTCATAATTGAGAAGTTTCCCAAAATGACAGAAGGGTTCAATTGGAAGGATCTGACTATAAGAAAAATTAAACCTTATCAGTTCTCCATTGTCTGAATAAGTGGAGGTGATCAAGAGACAGAGCTCTAGTGGGACTTCAATTTACTGTTCATTTACATTTGGTTTTATGAGGCATTTTTAGTAATTAGCATTTTTATATGGGTGTGTCTAAAGTTCTGGGAATTTACAACTGCTTACAGCAAATAACAAAGCTACTCAAAGATGAAGGTGCTGACTGGGCTGGAATGCTGTCAGGTGACTTCCAACCTCTGTACCAACTCTGCTTAGTGAGTGAGGGCTTGGGCCTCAGACAGAGGAAGGTTTAAATCCTGATGCTGTTGTGTGACTTCAGATTCCTCATTTGAAAAGCAGGAGAAACAAAGTAGTATAAAGTACCTTGACTGTGATATCAGAAAATTATGAGGGAATTCTCCGACATAACCATGAAATATATCCAGCATTCAATCAGGTATTATTTTAATCTGGGAGGGGCATGTATGTGTTACAAATTTCCATGAGCAGAAGATCAGATCTGCTAATTAACTTGGGTTAGGTGTACTTCACCAACCTCTTTAAATTATGACACTCTGGTTATAGATTATAAAGGGGCTTAGCATGAACCAGGAAGGTCATAGACTAGAGTCTCTGGCAGGAATCTGGCGAATGAGCAACTGGGTTCAGAAGGTAAACATATTTTATATTCCCAAGAGTCATCCAAAAACTCCAGAATTTCTATTAAGAAATTGCTACTCCTTAGTTTATCCTTAGTCATCTTAAGATGTCCTTTGTGTTAATACATGAATATTTATAATTCTCAATAACTTGTCTGAATTCGTACTAAGTGCCAGATATGACCTGCAATTAACCACATTGCCTGAGAGGTCAGATGGCCAAGAAGCCTCTTTTGGGCATCCCTCCTATACAAAACCTTTGGTACCACATGCATAAATTTTGAATTTGGTCTTGGGAAGGGGACTCTGGAGGGGTCAGTCAGTGTCAAACAGAAAGAGCTCATGTATAGCCCTGGCTGGTGTTGCTCAGTGGGATGAGCATGGGCCTGTGAACCAAAGGATCGCCAGTTTGATTTCCAGTCAGGGCATATGTCTGGGTTGCAGGCCAGGTCCCCAGGGGCATGCAAGAGGCAACCACACATTGATGTTTCTCTCCCTCTCTTTCTCCTTCCCTTCTTCTCTCTCTAAAAATAAATAAAATCATTGAAAAAAAAAGGAAAGCGCTCAAGTATAATCTGAAAAACACTACATTAATTTCTGTAGTTTCTTTACCATCCCTATTACATACCATGTCCTAATTAAAGACTCACTCTTGATCACTGAAGTAGAATTGGGTCCTTGTGCCCATAAAAAAAGAAAGCTTGACTAACTGAATTGTATGTTTTTTTTTTTTCCCAAAGAGCACATTTCTTTTCAAGGTCAGGAAGCTGGACTGCTTGTTCTACTAAATGTTTAGATTTGGTATTACTTAGAATATGGCTTCAACAACTACAAAAAGATGCCAAAAATACAGTGGCAGTCTAGCAGTCTCAGGGGCCCAGTTTCTTATTCTTGTGCTGTTACCTTTAGTATATTACTTCCATTTTATAGTCCACGATAGCTGCTCCAGCTCCAACCCTCACACCTACATCACTGTAAAAAGGAAGAAAGTGGACACATTTTCTTTTACAGCAACAATCCAGATGTATACATCAATTCTACTCCCAAATAGGCTACATCTAGCTGCTAGAGAGGCTAGGAAACTGGATGAATGTGTGTC